CGACCGAATGAAGTCTTCGGAAAACTTCGGAAATAATGCGAAGACGGTGACCACTGACTCATCTACCTAAAATAACAATATAAAAATAGTTAGGTTGTTTTTAAGCTATTGCACAGCGTTTATCGCGGGCTTTGAGCGCGGCGACCGAATCAAGAAATTCCGTAACGAAAATAAAAGCTAACACCCCCACTCCGCCTACCATGTAGCTCGCGTTCAACACATTTACACGTTGCGCCTATGTAGTGTTTGTGAATAAGCGCGCGGCGTGACGTCGCACTGCATGCGCATCATGAAAAGTCTGCCCATCTCTCTCTCGCGCGGTCTAGCTTATGAGTGTGAAGGGGACAGTTAATGTTTTGCTTTTGTTAATGGTTATAAATATAGCGTGATCTTATTTTATTATTGTTTTAATATTAAATTATTATTGTCTAATTGTAATTGCATAAGTTGATAAAAAATACTATGCAATAGCTTTAAAGTTTTTCATTCTGATAATATAGGCAACCCTATCCTACACGCTTAAACAATTCGATGCCATTAAAATGACAGCTGTCAAATAATGACTAGAAGTTCGCTAATGTCAAATTGACGTTGACCGTAATACAATATGGCCGCTTACAAAATGAAAATTGTAGATTTAATATAATTCTGATGACACAATTAATTATACGACACTACTTCATGCTACTTTGAACAGCTAATATTAATATATATCGAGGGGTGAAAGGTCATTTGGTTTAAGCGGCATTTATCTTTGTAATTAAAGGTCAGTTTTATTTGATATTATATAATTCGATGCATTTAATTGAACTTCAATGAAGTTTATTCCATTCAAATAGCTGAAGAAGTATTTTTGTTAATGATATTTTTTCCAAATCTCGTGTAAAATTGCAAAAATGTCGCTTACAACCTAATATTACTTTTTCACCTCTCGAATTATATTTGTAATCTACATTAAATTGTCAATCGCTTAGTCGAAACATTTTTCGACTACCACATAATATGAAATTTAAAAGCTAAAATATCTTTTTACGTACCTACCTCCATTGTGACGGAGCTTTAAAATTATACTTATGGAATGACGCTTTTTGAATTGTCAAAGGACTTACCTAAATTGGATATGCTAATTTTCACATTCTACGACACATTACTAATACTAATAGACTCAATTAGCTTACAATTCTGATGTCTCATTTAGACTAATCTCAATTGACATGGAAATAAAGTAGCCGAGTTATTTTTGCAAGAATTTAAGACTAGACAAAAATTATTTTATATATTTATCTGTATACGTAATCTTTCAAATGCTTCCTTTATTTATTGCTAAGATCAGTAGATGAGCTCACACTAACACTAACAGTGGTCAATGGACTTCATAGACATCGGCAAAATAAGTGCCGCCACCCACCTCCAAACAAGTCTATATCTTAGTTTTACAAAACGTGTTACTGCTTCACGGCAGAAATAGGCAGGATGTGGTACCTACCCGTGCGGACTCAGACGTCCTTCCAACAGCAAAATAAGGGGGTTTCTCGATTCAATTTTCATGTATTTCACCTCAGAACTTGTGTATAAGTTCACCGATTTTAATTCTTTTTTACACGCTTTATATTAGCTTCACTTGTATGTATGTTTGTAACTGACTCCTTTAGACGCGATTTTGACCCACTTTAAACGGCCAGATTTCATTCAAACTTTATAGATTTATCGAGGACCGATGACAATATAGGTACTAATTTGATAAGATTATTCCATTATTCAATTTGCAAAATTTGATTTTTGCCAATTTATATAATTTTTATCTATAGTCGATAAGGCAGGAATTGATGTTAAAGTATTTAATAGTTTTAAAAATACGCTTTTATAGAAAATTTAACTAAAAAAATGCTTTTTAAGATATTATTGAAATAATAATTCTTCTACTCATATCTGTCAGAAAAATATTTTTAGCTAATATGTAACACCATGCACCCCACGCTTTTTTTACACTAAAATATATTTTACACTATTTTCAATTTGAATTTATTAAAATTTATTTTCTAATAAAAAATTTAGTGTTTTTTAGTTTTTTTTAAACTATTATTTATTTTTCATTATTTGCGATTTGATACTTCTCGTATGCAATTTAAATCATTATCAAGATTCGACTGGTAATTTTTGAATTATCCATAATAAAGAAATCATAATTGACTTGGACTACATAGACGATATACTCATATTATTACTTCGATTAAAGGATTTTAAATAATCAGAATCATATTAAATCGACTGTCGTATATTGATACGACAGCGCTTTTTTTTTTACACAAAAATTTTATTTTTAATTTTTTACTTGGATTTTTCTATAAAAGCGTGTTTTTTGTTTGTTTTCGTTTTTAAACTAATATTTTCTTATTCTGTGACACCGGGTTGAAAAATTCTTTAAGTAAAATCCATCGCTAAATAATATCTAGACGGTAGTAATCGTTTGAAACAGTGAAAAATTTAAAAGAACTTTCGCTCTTACACGTCGATCATCTAAATGAGGCATCATAGCTTCAGTGGCGAATGCGGCAGTTTTAGCGCAAATTTTTTTTTAAACATTACTTGTTTCGCCGCTTACGATGAATTTTGTGAGCTTTTGGATTATATAGCTTATATCTGTGCCCGCCACTGGCTTCATTTGACAGTGCCAGTGTCACTTAATTGACAGACAATACTGACAGCTGTAGTTCCGCGCTTACGTCACGTTAGCGCTAGGCCGGTACCGGTAAAATGGGGCGATTAGGGATTGAAAGGCGAATCGGGAAAAAACCGGGAAAATCTTTCGACGCTCAATATAAGTTTTATATTCGTTGCAAAATCTTCCATTTTTTGTAGTTTAATAGTAGAATGTTGAAAGTTCACAAAACAACTCTGAATATGCATGATAATAGCTGCTAACTTATAAAAAATCGCGTTTCAAATTAACTTCCTGTGGTGGTAATTATTTTAGTGCTAGAAACTTTGCTCTCTTTTATTTATTTGATAATAATAGAAGACGACTATGATTTATAAACGTTATTTAGTGTTTGAACCAGCATATATATTAAAGGTAAGTCTCAGTTGTTATTGGTTTTAATGTATTTGATTAAATAAAAATACATGTAAAAATCTGTTGTTTTTGGGGATATTGGGGACGTCTTAGGTACAAATAACAACGAAAAAGGGGTCAATTGGGATGAGAATACGTGAAATGGAAACGACCTAAGTATAAATAGGTACAGGTTTGTAGGGTTGTCTATGTAGTTATAACAATATTTTTTAAATTTGTTGGTAAAAATCTGGTTTATTCGAAGCGAAATTGGGAATAAGTCTTTAGTTGAAATAGATAAGCAATTTAATATAAGTAAGTCGATTTTGCAGAGACATGTAACAAGATCAATGAAATCTCAAGGTGGACAAAAATGTCTAAGTAATACATAATAAAATATTTAATATTTGTTCAGAGTGGGGGTATTCATCTGATTAATCCATGGAATAACCGACACACCTAATCTCTTAACCCAGATAGAAATATCAGCACTGTCGATTGCACCTATAATTGAGGTGATGTCTGCCATGTACTTTTGTCAGTTTTTCAATTTTTTTTATTGATGATCACTTTGTTGGTGCAACTAAATAAATAAATAAATTAAAACTATATATAAAAATAAAAGTAGTGCCAACCCTAGCAAATTTCTCATTTCGTCCCAATTAACCGCAATTTTCGGGTAAATAGGGATTACACCTATTTTTGCATTTTTTGCTTAAACTGGAATGCTAGTTGCATAATTTTAAATTAGACAACAAAGATGCCCCCAAGACTCAATCATTTTGATCCTGATATAGCATTATATACATCAACAACTACCTTAAAATTGCTCATAAAGTTGGAATTTGTCCCTAATCGCCCCATTTTACGGTACATGATAAATCCTGAAATATCGCTACATAAACAAAACAGGCACAATCCTATTTGTTTTCAAGGAGACAGCTACCGTCAAATTTGTATAAAAAAACTAGTTGACCCGGTGACGTTGTTTTGGACCGCCCTTAAAATTTTGGGGTATCAGACCTACCCGATATGCACACGAAATTTCATGAGAATCGGTTGAGCCATTTCGGAGGAGTTTGGCAACAAACACCACGACGCAGAATTTTATATATTAGATATGAATGGAGGTTTTATTAAGACTGGCTCGGTGGCGTGAGTGACTACAAGGCGGAGATGGTTCGTAAGTTCGTTTCCCAATTCGGACCAACTTTCTCATGACGTAGGTTTGTTTGCTGTTTGCTATCACGCTCGATGATAATACGGGGTAATGTGTGTTGGCTTCTTAATATCAGAGAGAGCTGGGGCCAAGATATCTTAAACGTCTGTTTGGACCAGATTTTGATCGCTTACGTCCTCCCATCGAACGACCTGGCCATGTGAAAAATTGCCACACCCGAATAATGAATCGGATGCAGAAAGAACCGGTTCCGAATATTTTTTTCTGTTAGTTTTTTTTTGTTTTTTCGTTGACAGCGCCTCAGCAATTCGCCACTATGATCGCGCAATGTACAGTAAAGGTACAGAACAAACAGGAAACACGAAGATATTTACGTACAGACTATAAATGAGTACATAGGTAGACGCACTACAAATATTTAAAGACTTATTAAACTACGCACCTTATTACCAAATAAATTCATTGATTTTATTCTAAAATCTAATTTTGTGACGTCATGACAGAGCTAACGACACGCTTAATGTGCATATATATTTTTGTATATTCGAGGGACGATATTAGACATTTATCTTTGTAAATTAAAGGTGCATTTTATTTGATAGCTTAACACCAAAATCACCGGTAGGCAGCGGCTTGGCTCTGCCCCTGGCATTGCTGAAGTCCATGGGCGACGGTAACCACTCACCATCAGGTGGGCCGTATGCTCGTCTGCCTACAAGGGCAATTAAAAAAAAAAAACCCTCGAAATATGTATCATGTATATAAATGACACCAAAACGCTGCATACGTTAGTGGAAAGCGGTGTTTAAAAATATAATAACGCTTAACAATATGTATACTAAATTAGAAACGAATCTTAGTGTTGCCAGTGCAAAGCGTCAGTGTTGCCAGCCTTTAACGGGAGATTTACTGTTATCATGAATTCGCATTGTGCGAATTAGAGACAAGTGTTATTTTCACTGTACCTTAAAGGTGGATATAATAAATATGATGATTTCAAAAATCCTTTTAATTTAGCTATGAAACAAAAACAAAAACCCCTTACGCGCTGTTCAAATCGAAATAAATTATGCATTAATTCGACAAAAGAAAATAAATGGCGATGTATAAGTTAGCATTTCAATAAATCCAAGCTAGCTGATAATGTTAAATAATATGACATCTAATTTATTGTGTTTTACAGAATAGACTGAAGCGAAATTAAGCCTTGCTTTAAAATGGCGTCCGAGCGGCCATGTTTTTTTGATGACATTTCTCTCGCCAATGACAGTGATAATATTAAATTAATGACTTTGGCGGGGAAACATTTAGTGTCTCTTTATAGTATAATGGGGGTTAATGACCGTTATTTTTAAAGAGAAAAACTTTAAATAATCAATCATTGGACGCTACTTCTCGGGCTTTTTCAAAAGTTTGTCAATGTCTAAATTCGCGCTATATTCCTGAGATTTTTTGAAAAAAATACTCCTTTAAATTTTAGCCATGATGCCGCCGTTGAAACAGCTTTTCTAGAGACTAGAGCAATTCCAATAACTAAACGGCAGGACAAAAGGATCTTCTTTAAAAAGTACAAGGGTTAGCCACAAATGACGTCACCTGTTTTAGTAACCATTGATAAGCTTTAGTTATTAGATTATGTTTAGCGATTTAAATAATGCAAATCATTGTTGTTTCCCAGAGAAACCGTAACTGGACAAGCGTTAGGATGTTCTTAAGCATACATTTTACGATTCTCTTGCCCCGTAAGTTTATCTATATAATTACAGTTCACCGCGTGCATTACGCAATCGCGGCGCCTATGAACACATAAGCACACATTTCCAGTCTCAAATTCGTTGCCTCAGAGGCAATTAGCCTATCAACTCTCCAATAATTTAACTTAACCGAATTTTCGTATCACGTAATCCTAAAAGACTGGATGTAATTTTTGACAAAATACGCATTTATTCGCTTTTATTTTTAGATGTTTTTCTTTTGCTGTTTTTTTTTTTTAACACTATTATTGCTAATCAAATATTGACAGTAGTTTAGTACTATTGTGTTCGGAGTTCGCGCCTTAGCCGTAATTCATCATGGCGGCTGTCAAATAGCGATTTGACGTTTGCTAATGTCAAATTCAAACAATATGGCCGTCTGATATCCATGAGCGAACAATTTCGGTTCGTACATTTGATTCGATTACTACTACTATACGAAAATTATTTTCATGATAATTATTTAATTTCAGATTTCAGTGGATATTTATACGGAATGTTTGATGACAAGTGTCGGTCAAGAAGGAATTTTCCCGAACAATAACGACTCTGATCACCGACTAATGACGTCACAGAACAAACATCTTGTGGCCGTTATATTTTTAAAATTTTTAATTTCGAATTTCTAACGTATTTTAGATCTGCAATAGGGTTTATTTAAAAATACCCACCAATGCGTTTAATAGCGTTTTTCAATTACATCCAGCCTTGATTCCTGCCGAGATCTCACAATTAGCAACTCTCATTAAGTGTGTGTGTGTGTATTTGTTTATCTCTCACGTAAATTGCTTATCATATTTCGATAATAGTTAATTCTTCTTCATCTCAACCCAGAATTGGTCGTTATCCAACGAGATCCCTATTAAATGCGTTAACGCCCAATAATGGACTAAAGAGAGGGTACAGATTTTTCTGCCACTAACCTTATTCCCTCAGTCTTCAAGTTTCGAGACATTGGGAACTCGCTTAAACTAAGAATCGTGGGATATCCCAGTTAAATAATAAGTAGTTATTCATAACAAAAAAAATTGTTAATCGTTAAATCTGTCAATTATTGCCAAAGAGATCATTAATGACATTCCGCGACTTGACGTTCGCTAATGTCACGCGTCAAACTAAAACAAGATGGCGACTGACTTCGAAACATTAGCTTCTAGCTTTGCAAATGTAAAATCGATAGTCGGTCCTTAAAACAACTAAAGAGATGTGTCAATAGATTATTTACAGCAATCCCCCCTTATAACACGGTACTCTTATAACGCATATTCATATTGCGCGATTTCAGTTCGTCGTATAACACGGGTATTCATCCATATAAAGGCGGGGATTTTACGCGTTATACATAACATTTCTGCACTCTGAAAATTATAATGATTTTTATAGTTCATAATTAATTTCGCGTAGCTTTGCACATTACGTCAATTGTGTTGTTATAAAATGAAATGAAATTAATTTATTATTATAAATTGGTGTTCCCAGTTTTTGAAGTGTAAACATTGGTTATATTGTATTCTATTTGTACATGATGCGTTATACAACGCGTTGCTTATAACGCGGTACCGATCTACCGTGTTATAGGGGGGATTACTGAATATTGTTTTAATTGAGATTCTTAAGCGCCATTTCGGTAGGATCTAGGGATTATTTATATATAACATGAGACAAATGAGGCGAATGAGACAAACATGATCTTCAACCGTCTCACTTTTCTTAAGACTCATGAATGTGGAGCGTTATACGATGGATTCCCTCGCGTTTCTACCTGAAATACAAACTTACGTGACATATATGTAAATATATCGAGCGGTGAAAAGCTATTTGGTTTACGCGACATTTATCTTTGTAATTAAAGGTGCGTTTTATTTGGTATCAGCATCAAAACAGTTCGATGTTTTTAATTTGAACTTCAATTAAGTTTACTCCATTCAAAAATAGCTGAAGAACCTTTTTTTTGTTAAAGATATTTTTTTCTAAATTTTAAACTTTAAATGGTTCTCCTGTAAAGTTGCAAAAATGTCGTTTAAATCAACCTTTCACCCTTCGATATTATTTAAATAAATTATAAATATATTCTGAAGACGAAAGTGTAGCGTTTTGAAGCAGGCATCCCCAAACCGATTCGGACTTTGGCCCAGCAAGGACTATTTTAAGTCCTTTTCCAAATAAACTTATACTTAGGACCCCCATAAAGCAGTGGTCGGCAACCTTGTCAACCAAAAGGGTCATAGATAGACCACAATTGAAATTCATTTAAAGAGTAATTTCTTTAACCAAATGCTTTTATTTTATAGCCTTGTGTTTTAAAAACTTTAACTCGTCTCATATGAGGACAGGTAATAAGCAATATTCCTTGCCAGAACTGAACATTTCGCGGAAGATTATTACTGGTGGTAGGACCCACAAGACTCACAAGAGGTCCTACCACCAGTAATAATCTACCACCCCGCCTGTTTCTGCCGTGAAGCAGTAATGTGTTTCGGCTTGAAGGGCGGGGGCAGCCGTTGTAACTATAGTGAGACCTTAGAACTTGTATCTCAAGGTGGATGGCGCATTTACGTTGTAGATGTCTATGGGCTCCAGTAACCACTTAACACCAGGTGGGCTGTGAGCTCGTCCACCCATCTAAGCAATGAAAAAAACAGAGCTGCTGACGAGGATGCGCCGCCTGTTGCCGGCCACTGCCACGGACGAATCACTTTAAAAATGCCTACCTCTGGTTGTTTTTCCGTTGAAACAAAAAGCTTCCCAATTTGAAAAGAATACGATTGATCAAGTCATCGTGTGTTTGCGTGTGTAAGTGATTGGTAACCACTTCGGGAATTCCCGGTTTAATACAACAAAATATGCAATGTTTTTTGAAGTGAAACTTCTAATGCGACTTCTAACAAGGTTGCGTTAAACGTTTAACGCTACCATAGAATAGAAAGAGACAGAGCGAGAGCGAATGCGTGGCACTTGAATGCATGCGCGCAGTATTCCTGTTACAAGCCAGCGCGAGCGTTAGCAACGAGTAGGTAGCGTCCAACATTTTAATGAAGTATTTAAAAAAAAAAAAATTTTTTTTTTTTATCTATAATTTAAAATAAATATAATATAAATGTTGAAGATGTCGCATCTCTTACACACAGCATTCCCTATTACAAGATCAATCCGATTTAAGGATGAAAAATGAATAAAACCACAATACTATACATCGAAACAGAAGTTTCACTTCATTCACTTGCACCGATTTGCCACTTACCACCCTCGACGTATACGTGACGAGGCTCATCGAGATCTGCACCAGACTCCGCGTTGCCGCTGTCCTCGGACTCACTCGAGGACTCATCATCGCAGACCGGACATTTGACGTGGCCCCCAGCCCCGACGGTCCCTTGCCAATCTTGCGACTCAACAAAGCTGCGGTTCCTGTCCGCTTCGACGAGCTTATTGGAAGCGAGAAACTCGTCGCGATCAGCGAAATCGGCGAATAGAAAGTCAAGTTTCAGGTCCTCCCGCTTTGGCGGGGGTCCTATTTCGGGTCGCTCAACCTGATGGTCTGGTGTTTCTTGCTCCACGCTCGGCACTTTGGCCCTGAACGCCCAGTGGAAGTTCGAGACGTGCGTGGGCCACTGTAAGTGCGCCAACAGCATATCGCTCGGTACAAAAAGGTTGCAGAGGCCGCAATGGAAATTGTCCTCCACCTGTTGAGTCACAATCGAGTCTCATTTCACTGGGCAATAATTGGGGAAGCGGTTTCTCCAATCGCGACCCACTGAGTAGATCCGGCGAGAAACTCAGTGGGATGTGTCTGTGGGTTAATTTACTCGCCGAGCCCTTCGTTGCAAGCGACGGGTTCGACGGGAACGATGACCGGTGCTTTGGGTACCTAAAAGCACCGTTATTGAATCGGGAGAATCCGAAATGATGTGTGGACCTTACACATAAATTGAACAGTTTCTGAAGACATCAGGAAACGACAGTTGCTTTTCGATCTTCAGCATTTTTAGACTAAATAATATTGTTTATTTGCTTCCGGCTATTAGCTATATTACGTGGTGCACAAAAACATGAGTTTAATGTCGATATTTTCCATTTTAATATGCCATTGAAATATATTACTTCGTCGTTATAATACACGCGAAGATGATACCAACTAGTGGCCTAGTCAATAACTCTGGCGATACCTAGATTCTTGGTAAGATATGTTTAAAAAGAAAAGTTTACGGTACTTAGCGGTCCTTAGCGCACATTACTGCACTTGAACAGCCACTGACAATTGGGACAAAGTTCCACGAAGCCGAAATTACCCGAGCGACTCTTTCCGAAGGTCGATGTGCAGCATTTATGGGCGAATACTGTCCACCTCAGGCAAACCTAACGCTCAAAATAAGTAATTAACTCAAGAATACTTACTTGTCGCACCAAATGCTTCCAGAAGTCTATCGAAAAATTGCATTCCTTCAAATTCTTGTTGTGCCTGATGCTGTCCACGTGTTCCTTAACATCCGAGTTCTTGACTTCAGCTGAGCAGACGAAGCAGTATTTAGCAGACCGTCCGATCTCGACTAGGGTGTGGTAACACGAACTCTTGATCTTGTAAAAGCATTTCTTCAACTGCACATAAACGTATATGCTGTCGTCTTCCTTGTCTTTCTCGTCGCTTGTCTTCCTCATCATTCCACTTTGACTTTCCAGTTCGAAAAGCCGTTTAAATTGCTCGTGATTCAATTTCAATAGCAGACGGTAGTAGATGTCTTGATACCAAATTCTTTGGTCTTTGTCGTAACAATCGTCTTCGTCTTCCGAATGAGAATCCCCTGTATCTGCCTCCCCTTCTTTAGATCGAGCATGGCCATTGGTATCTTTAGCCCGATTCACTGGGAAGTAGGGCGCGGGTGGATTATGAAAATTTACCGGCCAAAACCCCTGCGGTGGCATGCAGAGTCGCGGCCTGCTATAGGCCATAGGAAAAGGCAACCTAAACGGCATAAAATTCGGCATGATCCCGGGGGCACGGGCGTAATTCGGCATCACATACGGCACAGGGAAGTTCGGGATCGCAAATGGCGCCGGTCGCGGGTACATCCCTAACGGTATATTCGGTATATTCGGCACGAAGTTCATCGGTAAAGGGAATATCGGAGCAACGTACGGCCGGAGGCTTCGAGTCGGCTGGTTCATGTAATAATGCGAGAAGTTAACGTGATTCATATTTTGAGGTCTCCGGAAACAATTCGAGATACCGGGATTGCATTTTTCCATCGACTTGGTGAGTAACAGCATATGGCTGAGGCTTTCGACGTGATCCGATAAATCGTTTGATTTCATGAACACATTGCATATAGCGCAATGGAAATCGCCTCTGATCTGGAATGGTGACCAAAACCTTAATTGTGAGCAAAATGAAAAATGCCTAAAAAGATTCACGCGCTCCGATACCACAGCCAGTTTTAGAGGATATCATCAGCACCGGCCCAAAATCGTCCAGTGCGGGACATAGGCACCCTTAAACCATGCCACTGAATCCGGATATAAGTGCTGTGATATATTCCTTACTTTTCAAGGTTCATGCTGTAATTGAGGCCTAAAGGAAACCCTCGAAAACTATCTACATCGTGTTTTCGCTGTAATTCGAGGCGTTACCAGATTTAAAAGTCTGTGATGGTAATGCCACAGGCGACTGCTGGCATTAAGCTCCCACCAAGGTGCTTATTACAAAGAGCAGTCGTAGGCGTTTTGCCGATCTGACAAAACGCGGGATTTTTCATATTTAACTCTTTGACAGCCGTGTAGGTCACCGGTGCCCTACGCGGCGCGTACTGAAGTTATAATGTCTATTTCTGTTACTAAGGCGCCTGGCTTGCCTAGTTTTGCCTTTTATTGTTTGTCAATGTATGCTTTAGTCTTTTAGGTCTCTTAGAAATACGATTCATTCTCAGTATCTTCGAATTCGTCTTTCCCAGAGTCTACTAGATATTCCGGCGCCTTAGTAAGAAGATCGACGAGAGAAATCGCCTTGATTCCTTCAGTGCGCCGCGTAGACCCACCGGTGACCTATATGACAGTCAAGGGGCTTAAGCCTTATGGTCAGTCGATTTGTCAAACTTCATCGTCGTAACAATTTGACTAATGGCATCCTTAACAAATATGCACGATTGATTAGCAAAAATTTTAAGTTGTATGTTTTCACTCATATCAGCAATATTGCCAATTTTTTTTTCAATTCCAATTAAATTTCAAAATATACACGTATAAACCAATATACATATATCGTTATGTACCAGTTATTACGGTCGAGTTTCGATTATTAGATGAAAGCTGGCCCTAATAAAACTCGTGACGTGTTTAAAAAACAATAACTATTTAACTTAACGCCCACATTATGTTGACGTTATGGTCTAAAATTGTCATTAGACACTTACCAATCTGATCAAGTTATTCCTGTATTCGCCCAGGAAAAAATTTACCGTCAATGTGGCATTGTGCTCCGCGGCTTCATTAACGTGCCCCATTGCGTCTTTCCCGTCGAATTCAAGGTCGCAGAAACGGCACACGGCCTTTTCCTTGACCACTATGGTGTTGTAGGCCATTCTGGTGATGACCAAGCCAACGTCGAACGGCCTGACCACGATTTCGCCGTGCGTCTTGTCTGTATCGACGTCACCGAATCCACCCAGGCTCGTTACCGTCTTCAGCAACTCTACCCTCGCATCATTAATGGTCTTTAAGTCCTTTAATTGGTCGTTTCCTTCGGTCGACCCTACGTTCGGTTCTAGCGTATTATTCCCTTCGTTCTCTGTCTCTGTATTATCTGGAGTATCACGTATTCTGTACGTTAGGTCGTCTTGCCTCTGCGTTAGATCGTAGTATCTGAGGTTCGACTTAGTCTGATATGCTATATGGGATTCCGTGCGAAAATGTTGGTTTTCGTCTCCATCGAGCAAGAATACGTTGCAAATCCCGCAGTGGTATCTTTGGCGGATCTGAAATTTCGATTACTTTAAGCTCCCCGTTCGCTTACGGCTGGGGAGCTTTGGTTTTAATGTATTATACGCTTCGATTTAATCGATTAGCGCATAACTATCAATGCAGAAGCATTAGACCACTTTATATACAAACTTACAATTACAAATGGAAACTCAAAATATTGGCCAGGTTTACAAAAAAAAACTAAAATTCCTTGTACTATGAGAACCAAACATACTTATTTAAATAAATACATATATAGTTATTAAGAGCACAGACTAAGGAGCAAACAAAGCTGTTTATCACATGTTTGCTTGTTACGCGAATCGAAGGTACAACCTTTTCAACAGTCGAGAGTAATTAGTGAGTGATTTAATAAAAGCAGTCCTTAGATGGACCGGCCAAACCGGCTCCTTGTTATCTTTTAGGTACGTAGAGTAAAAATCTGTTTTTTCAACCTATTCGCTGGAAGCCTGAAGGGTTATTCCAGCTACGTGCGGACGAGTAGGTGAGCTCATGGGCTCGACTTGAGAGAATTTGTTAACACCAGCCCTTGCAAGAGCAGCTTTTCGTAAAATCTATCATCGGATCAGAACTGCGACTCATTGGGTTGTGCCTATGGGTTGGTTTGTTTAGAACTCTTCATCGTAAACGACGAGTACGACAAGGATGGTGACTGGGTAAATCGGTTACTGCACCACGACAAATATAGTGACAGAATAAAAAAGTCGTGGCCTAAAGGATAAAACGTCCGGTGCATTCGTGTTGAGCGATGCACCGATGTTCGAATCCTAGGCGGGTACCAATTTTTCTAATAAAATACGTACTCAACAAATGTTTACGATTGACATTCACGGTGATGGAATAACATCTTCTATCTTCTTCTTCTATATATATAAAAATGAATTGCTGTTCGTTAGTCTCGCTAAAACTCGAGAACGGCTGGACCGATTTGGCTAATTTTGGTCTTGAACTATTTGTGGAAGTCCAGAGAAGGTTTAAAAGGTAGATAAATTTGAAATTGCTCGGAATTACATAAAAATAACAATTTTGATTTTTCCTTTTTGAAGTGAAACTTCCTTATCGGCGTTGGAAAAAAATTTACCGTCACATTTTTCGGTTACGCGTCACATTTTTCCGTTACGCGCCATCTTTTTTGTATTCATGTCTATGATAATAAAATCCTTTTGTTTAAACTTTATCTAATTTAACTTTTTTGTATTCATGTCTATGATAATAAAATCCTTTTGTTTAAACTTTATCTAATTTAACTTTATTTAACCAATTTCTAGAAAGTTGCATGTAGATCATTTTTCGAAAAATAAGGCCATAAACAAGTTTCACTTCTTACGTGTGTACACTAGTACACGCACACATTTTTTTTTGTTGTGTGTGGTATTTTATACAAAAGTTTAAATCTTTTATTTATCGATTGAGGCAATACGAAGTCTACCGGGTCAGCTAGTCGTGTAATAAAAATCAAACCCGCAAAATTATAATTTGCGTAATTACTGGTGGTAGGACCTCTTATGAGTCCGCGCGGGTAGGTACCACCACTCTGCCTATCTTTGCCGTGGAGCAGTAATGCGTTTCGGTTTGAAGGGTGGGGCAGCCGTTGTACTGTAAAACTGAGGCTTTAGAACTGATATCTCAATGAGGGTTTCGGCATTTGCTGTGAATGCAAATAAACTTGTCTACACATCTAAGGAAAGCAAAAAATCCTCGAATCGCTTGGAAATTCCACGCAATTAAGATTTTATATACAAGCACGATATATAACCAGAACCAGACCAGAATGAATTTGCGAATGCCGGTTTAAACGCAATCTTGTTGCGAAATGAATCAGCGCTGACTAATATTTTGGGGTTTTATATTATAGCTACTACATCCGTTTGTGGCTTTGTTTTATCGTCAGTATACAACGATGTGGCTTTAGCAGATAAATACGTATTTTTTATTTATGAAATGCTAATTAGAAAATAGTCGTTCGAACAAAAAGAGCTACAAAAGAAAACCAGTTCGATGTGGGATCTTTGTTTTGATTAAGGAAATTAAACAACAATATTTCTTAATTTGACCGAATTGGATGTTTCGTGTTTACATCATTACGGATCCTCCCGATCCACCAATGGTGCTTTTAGGTACCTCAACCACCGGTCATCGTTCTCGTCGAACCCGTCGCTTGCGACGAAGGGCTCGACGAGTAAATTAACCCACAGACACAGCCCACTGAGTTTCTCGCCGGATCTTCTCAGTGGGTCGCATTTCCGATCAGGTAGTAGATTCTGCGAAGCACTGCTCTTGCTAGGGCTAGTGTTAGAAACGTCCTCAGATTAGAGCCCCGTGAGCTCACCTACTCAACCGGTTAAGCTGGCATCATAGCCTAGGTTACTAGCATAGGTAGGAAAAAGTTTATATAATAGACTAATGTATAAAAATATATAAGATGGCTGTATTTTTTGGGAAAATAGCAGTTTCGGAACCACAAAAACTACTTTTTCTAAAGACATTTAGTTTCGATTCGTATTAGTTAACCTTTTTTATTGGCTTTTGCAGATTTCGAGTTATTAATTTCGGGTTATTTTGTTCAGTAGGTATTGACTCATGTGTTGTATTATTTTGTGGAAACCTGTTTAGTTTTGATTTTACCTATCTTTAAAAAACTGTATATATAATAAATATTGTCCGATTGCTGTGCCGTAGGTCGCAAAAAAAACGCTCCAAGAGCACATTCTCCGATAACAGGAGGTCAAGGGTATCCGCCCAAGGATATTGGTCCAGTTCATGCTGGATTTACCTAAACTTGGATAAGGACATTTAATACTTTTTTGGTGGTTGTTTTTTTTTACTGCTTAGATGGGTGGACGAGCTTACAGCCCATCTGGTGTTAAGTGATTACTGGAATCCATAGACATCTACAACGTAAATGCCGCCATCCACCTTGAGATGTGAGTTCTAAAGTCTCAGTATAGTTATAACGGCTGCCCCACCCTTCGAACCGAAACAAATTACTGGTTCACGGCAGAAATAGGCGGGGCGGTGGTACCTACCCGTGCGAACTCACAAGACGTCCTACCACCAGTACATATAATAAATTGTAATATAATTATATCGTCGTTGTCAAATCAAAATCGGCTATGTGCACTTTTTGAGATTTTTACATTTTGACCTTTTCGTATAGTTCACAGCCCTATCTACCGTATAAAAAAAAACTGTTATGTGTCTATAGCTTTAATATTTATCTATAGCTTTCATTTGATTTAGTTCTTAATTAAAAATTCACCTTCATATAAAATTTTATACGAATAATATGTTTTTACTCGTTAATTCAAAATAGTTTTTGCACATAGCAGATTTTGGTTTGACAACGACATTTTAAATATTGCATTGACCATGCATTTATTGACCGCATAAGCCGCGGCATAAAGAGGCAAGTTACATAATGAGGGGTGAAACGCTGTTTGTTTTAGGCGAAATTTCACTTAACACGCGACATTCATCTTTGTAATTAAAGGTCCGTTTTATTTGGTATCAGCATCGACAGTTCAATGTTTTTAATAGAACTTCAATTAAGCTTACTCCATTCAAATATCCGAAGAAGCTTTTTTGTTATATTTTCCAAATGTTTAAACTTTAAATGGCTCTCCTGTCTTGCAAAAATGCCGCTAAAATCAAACAGCCATTCACCCATCGATACGCTTATATAATTATATACATAAGTGCGTGTTCAACACAGGCTGTCATAAGTGAATCGACAAATTAGTCTGGTTACGACCAAATACCTGGCCAAATCCTCGTCGAGCCAAGATTTGGCCGGGCATGATGACTAGCCGCGAACTCACCTTTCTGGTGATTGTCGGGCCGAATTCTTCTAGCGGCTCAAACTTTTCCATGTTCCTAACATGGTGTTCTGAGGAGATGTGCTCAGAGAAAGCGTTCGCCTCGCATAGCTGATCGCAGACGGCGCACGACAGCTGTCTGCCGACCACGGCTAGCGTGTTCCACTGGTGCCTAGTCAGGTACATCTCGCAAGTGAGCAGCACCCCGCGCGATATTAGCGTCGGCGCGAATTTCGTAAACAGATTCTCTTCTGGAATATCGGGCATGTTTTCGGTGAGGATTTTTAGACTAAAAGAACTTTTATAGGATTTTAAAGACCCCTTTTCAAGGCGTAGTCTTCTGCGAAGAATTCGGGGAGGTGGAGGGACCTTGGCCCTCCTCGTCTCCTTCCCTCTACCTCTCGGGAGGCGTCGGAGTCCGACATAACCCGATTCGTTACCCCCCTTAACCGTAATGGTGTATCCGTAAATGGATTCCCCAGCGTTAAAAATAAAAAAGGATTTTAAAGACCCCCCTTCCGAATTAGAAGCTCGAGGTCCAGAAGCTCGGACTATTAAGCGGGCATCGTAAATGCTACCACTATTTCTCGTCAAGGCAGAATGAAATAATAAGTTTTTCTTTTTTTTTTCACGCACCCAACAATTGGATGTTTGGCTGCAGAAATAGACAAGAATCGGAAAATCATTGCACAGTCGCTAGCCGAAAACCGGACAAGGCGTTTAATTTTTTAGATTACCGTCATCCTGATCCTTATTATACCTACTACGAAGCTCACCTGTCTTCTGATTGTTTGCATCTGACGTATCATCCCCATCACTAGCGCTGTCAGTTCGAACCGGTCTATTCTCCGTGGCTTCGGCGGCCATTTCGTTTCACATTCTTTTTTCGAATTTTGTTTTTTTTATCTGTAATCGATGTTTTAAGCTTGTGTTATCGTACTTTTTGTCCATGTACTGAGCAATTATGATGATGAGACCCTTTAGTTGTGGACAGAGGGAATGCAAGAGCCATAGACGCTGTCTACAATTCGGAATCTTTTTGAAGTCTTGTTCCAAATGGACAATGAATCTAATGCGGATTGCTGACAATGTGATCTACTGGTAAAGCATAAGTAGGTTACACCGGTCGAACCATTTATCGCAGAGTTCCCGTCCGGTCGGAAAATTAGCGACAACCCTAATACAATAGAGACTCCGATATTTATCTGCTGTTGTCTACGGGCCCTGATTATCAGTCAGCTTAAAGTGAGCCCCTATATACATTAATAAAACGAAAACGCCTCTTTTGTGACCCAAGATGCAGGAAAATTTAGATTTTTTGTTTAATAAACACCTCGTTACTGTTAATTGGCCAAAGACTAGCAAATTGGGTTTAAATTGAAAAATTTAGGAGACGTAAATATGGCACATTATTTGAAATCGCACGAAACGAAATTTGGACGTTGGGCGTCTTGCCTATAACACCACGGACCCTTCTAAATTATAAAGGTAAGATACCGAAAAAAAAAAAACAAATCTAGTTAAATAACAAACCAAACTAACAATTGATTTCATGCCTTGTTTTAATTTTCTCCTTAATTTAGTACGTATGAATTCAAGGAGAGTTAAGTTCCTTCATTTTTAACCGACCTCAAATAAGGAGGAGGTTCTCAATTCGACTGTATGTTTTTTTTTTTTAATGTTTGTTACCTCACAACTCTTGACTGGGTGAATCGATTTTGATGATTCTTTTTTTATTAGAAAGCTGACGCTTCCCGTGTGTTCCCATTACAATTTAATCCAGTTCTGATAATGGTATCTATGAGAAAACCATAACCAAGTATAATACGTGTGCGACTAATAGATGAATAACTCAATAGCACGACAACCGATTTCGATGATTATTGTTTTTAGTGTATATTAATTTGTATTGGAATATCTTTTTTTTTCTATTCGGAAGTCTGTTTTTGTTAAAGCATGTCTATTTACAATTATTAGCTTAGACCTCATTGATATCAGATATATTCCGATTTGAAGACAAAACGAGTTTAAACGAACATATTTACGAACGGACTTGTGGTTCGCGATCTACACGAGTCTACATTCCGGGAAAAGAGTGACGTATCGGTATATTAATATAAATTCAAATGATCGAAGTCGAGGGATATGTCTTGGAGCACACAATCCCTTCCCCGGAGATTTAGTTCCGCTATTACAGGACCGACGGAACCCGACACCCGACTCGACTCTTCTTTGCCTCCATCCGAGGCGAATTTTTCATTTTCATTCTCTTCTATCAGCCGTCATTTCAACTATCACTCCTCTCTCTATCATATCGTTATTCACACACTCCATCCATGTCTTCTTCGGTCGACCTCTTCCCCCTCTACCTTGCACTACCATTTCCATACATCTCCTAGTCGTGCGCATCTCTTCCCTACGCATCACATGTCCATACCACGTTAGGAGTTCGCCTTTTAAATTACCAATCACTAAGTCATATATACATATATGACAGAAATCGCGCGTTTAACCAGTAGACTCCAATGAGAACTCGGCCGGATAACCGGTCCATTTTTGCTGAGCAAACCGTTAGCTATGTACTACTACAAACTAAATACCGGATCGAGCGTGCAAATCATCTGCTCATATGAGTCATACTTGTTTGCAACGCTAAGTTATGGAAACCAAAATACCCTATAAGCTATTTAGGAACTATTTTACCCTCCATCCGCTAATGTATTGATCGGTTGAGGCGAACCCGGCGACGATCTCAACAGGTACTTTGTTAAGTTCAGGTGACCTAAATATTATGTTTACGCTAACACCCCAATGACGGCCGATAGCAAAATGTGTTGACATTCATAACATTATAATGATTCAATCGTTTGTAATGCAAAAATTTAATTTAAGCACGATTAGCATTAATACGATTAAGAGATTGCGGTATGTCGACCGGCGTACTTACGCTCTATAATAATTAAACTACAAAATTACTTGAAAAACTGCATTGGTACATACAACTTACTTTTTTTTTAATACATCATTCTTCCAAAACGTTATAGTATTCGTAAAATTATAAATACTATTAACCTGGTTCACTCTTTAAAATGATTTCTTGCAATCGTATATTTATTTAAATTTCGCAATAATAAATGATACTTACATAGTCCTTCCCCGGTACTTAATCAATACACTGCCATTCAGGTATCTAGCATTCAAAACAAAAATAAAAAGCAAGTACTTGGATCGATGTTTACCAACATTGAAAACAAGAAAAAATATAGGTTTAGGTACCAACATAATGCACGAATCGTCAATTTCTACAACACAACCAAAATGTAAGTTTGCAAAAAGTAACACACACACACATATAAAGAATTTATCAAAACAATAATTTTCAAGACTTACTTGTCCCCCAGACTGATCTATATCGAAATATAGCAATTAAATTTCACAATGATAACGTTGTTTACTGATAATAAAACGCATTTGTCTGGTATATAAACACTTCGTGCGGGGAATTATCGCTAACTAAATAAATAAAAAGAAAGGAAAAGTATAACAGTTTGAAGCTGTGTTCACAGCGATTGGGAACCGCGCGAAATTCACTCCCACGCATTTTATATTTCTCCATCAGGAACGAAAACAAGGATCGGCCATCAAACAGCCTTGAAACTTCGATGTTTTAATAATTTAAATGCTTGTCATTTTTTACGGAATAGCTTCGCGCGCAAATCTTATAAATCGATTTAACATAATTTCACTGTTTTTTTTTTGTTAGGTTCGGCAAAGGAAAATTTGTGACGAGTTGACACTTGTAAAAAATTGAAATATCCTACGAAAAGAGCCACATGCGTAAAACTCATAATGTAATAACAATAAAACTCACGATTAAATTGTATTTTATCGATAAAGGTTATCGGAAAAAAAAACAAGAAAATAATTTTGTTATGTAAAATGTGTAATTATAAAAAGGTTTTTGACACACATTATTCGCAAGAACCTGTAAATCTACGGTGAGTTTGTTCATAGTTGATTATTATCCAAAATATCTTAAAAGAACTAAATGAATTAAACTTTTTATTAAAATCAGTGTTACTTACGTTCCTTCTATAAAGCCCTTCACGAAACAATAATTTATCAAACTAATTGTTACTTTTAAAACTATAATATTATATATTAAGTTAGTTATTAACTATAATATTAAGCTTAATATAACTATAATATTAAGCTTAAATCATTGAGAAGATTTCATTATATTGAAAAGTTTTTAAAAGTTCAATGTGTAAATAAAATAGTGACAGCAAACGTATCGGTAAATCACACACCATAGAGAACAGAATTTAAAAGGGATAGGTAATGCTTGAAAAAAAGTTGGCAAAATTGAAAAGATAAAATTCTGAAGAAAAAAATGAATGTTTTAGTTTTTTTTATTAATTATTAGTATTTCCTTTTTTCATATAACATTCACGTTAATTACAAACTTCAATAAGTCTCTTACGTATTTAGGGAAAAGCTTTCCAATCATAAAGTGGTTCAGTATCGATCCAGTATTATTTTATTCCATCTGTAGCCTATTTTTGTGTCATCGATCATCATAATCAGACAGTTTAATTATTAGCTGCAATAAATATCTTTATTGAGACTCATTAATTTTGCAATGACAAAAAAAAAATCTACGCAAAAATGAATTGCGTGTTAGGTTACTTGACAGTAAGTCTTCCTAACGATACACGCCACGTATTTAATGACTCCTCCTTGCATCAACTACCTAATTAGGCTGGAAAGCTAAAGCTTCATAAAGTGTTAGTCGAAGCTTTCGCTTTCAAAGCGTGAATCGATCCAACTATAGTCGAGTTAATATGCCACTAGGCGGTAATCTGCAGGTCGGGTCTAAATATTTTATTATTATATTTTATCATTATGTAATCTCTTTTCAGCCTTCATGAAGAATTTGTTACGAGTAATATATCAATGATGATATCAACCATTAATTGTAATTTATCTATATTTCTATGGTTTGAACAATCAACAGTATTGTTACAGAAAATACATGGCACATTAATACAATATAGAGTAAACAACAGCATTTTTATTGTCTGTGTAGTGTCTAATTTAGATTTTATTTTAGGAAATTGAACACACTTACGTCATAGGACACGTCAAGTAAACTTATTGTTTCCCATCCCCACACCACGGAGCCCCATGGTTATGAAGATATCTATGGTTAATGTTTTTAGGTTAGAATAGAACTATTTAGTCAAACTCGGAGGGATCTTTCCTGTCCTCCCCCAGTTTGAATCCGCCTTATTTCCAGCGCTGTCCTTCAGCCCTTGCGTGCCGAAACACGGTCACTCATGCTCCGCTCCGCATATTTGGCTTGATGGTCGCCTTTTATCAGCCTCAGCCGCTCCATCTCGCACAGTTCCCATGTTTGGTCACAGCAGTTGAGGACTACTCGCCCTCCGCGCATCCGGTTTTTATATTATACACTCTAGGGGTAGGGCAGACAAGACCATGTGGAAAGTGGGGTGCTCTAATTCAGTTTTTGATATTTATCAGATATTCATGCAATTTGATTACTAAAGCACGAGCAATTTTAATATTGTTTTATTTAATGTAATTTAGAAAGCTAATTTATAAGATAGTTAATAAGACGCTATTAAAAAAAAATTGCGTCACAGCACGTTCCGTTTCAGTGTAGACAAAAATTCGTTATTTTTGGGTAAAAAAGTCAACTAAGCTCTAATTACACCAAATGTAATATATTAAAATAATAAAATATAGGTAATCAGGTAAAAAGTGATATTAAATTGAATAAAATACACTTCTACCATGAATGGAACGCGAAATGTCAACTTTGACGTCTACCTTGATGATTTTTCCAATTTGTTCAAAAACTTTAAAAAATTATATTTCGTAAACCGTGAGTTTCCAGCACTTGAAAATTTCTTAAAAGCTTTCTATTTATGAGTACTATCTACAAAAAATCTGAACTTCAATATCGATAGACCATAAAGGAAATTTTAGCCAAATGTGTGATCGCAGTTCATTTCACGGCACGATAGCCGAAATACCAGAGATTTGCGTCGACAATTTCACAGTTCTAGACAGAAAAGCATATTTTTTAAGTCATTGTCATGCGGATCACACGCAGGGGATTTTTACCGCCGATTTTTTGGAGAATTTAAACAAAAATCACACCCATATCTATATGTCCGAGGTCTCGGCGACTATCGTGGAGTATGAAAGCAATTGTGGACCCATCATGAGACATATAAGAACATTAAAGTTGGGTAAAAATAATATATTTCATAATATGAGCAACACTATTTAAAATGTTTAAGAAAACTAATAGTTAAAAAGTCATATAAACTGACACTTTAACAGAAATAGAATTATGATGTACCTAATTTTTCTGCGTGATACAATTCAGAATTATAAAACCAATCTTATGTAATTACTTGACCCAGTGATAATTGTGGTGTTTCAATATAAAATCAAAAGGACAATGTTTCTGTACAAAATGACCGAGAATTTTATATATTTGAAAACATAAACCAAATTTGACAAACATAGCTAATACAAAAATTTGCTCATTGTTCATTCTTTTCCTTGCAAACACAAATTATTTCAATACTGTTAAATAAAAAGAGATATGACTGTTTAATTTGCAGAGTCAACAACAATAACTTTAATAATGGATGACGGGAGCCATAAGTATTTGAATGTCAAAACGATACCGGCCGGCCACTGCCTCGGATCTGTCATGTTTCTATTTGAGATAAACAATCAGACGATACTGTACACAGGGGACTTCAGAATGAATCCAGAGAACATATCTGCTTTTGGACAACTGCACAAAGATAACATGCCGATTAAAATAAACACAATTTACCTTGATACCACATTCCAGAATGAAAGTTTTGACAATTTCCCACGCAGGAAAGACAGTATTCGAATGTTGGTCAATCATATAAAGCAGTGGGTAGACGGAGAACCTACCAACAGAATAGCCTTGCATACATCTGCTCGGTATGGCTACGAATTTGTTTTCAATGAAATCTACAACATTTTAAATATGAAGACTTATGTTAGTGATGATAAATGGGCATTGTACAGGTAACTTTTTTAAATGTACATCATTTGGCTATTGGTTCCTCTTAAAATCTGATTTGATTTAATTCAGGGGATGTAAAGGCGAATACATATGAGTCCAACATAACTGCAGACCAAACGGTAAGCAATTGCCGTCGCCCAAAACACGTCACTTCGTATCTACTATAGGTGTTTTTAGGCATTCCAAGCACCTTTGCATTATAGAATTTGGTTCCTTTTTTGTTATTATAGCTACACACTCAATGATGAGTGGTCGAATTCGCCAATAACGTCAGTGATGTCAGAAACACAATCAACTTTAAACACAGCTGAGGACTCCTTAGAGTTTGTATGAAGAAAGACATGTCAAAGTGTTCAGAAAACATTTTTGGTAAATTCTGTGGTCGAATGAAATGGACGTTCATGATATGTAATAATTAAACTTGTATTCTTATCAGGTGTTACCGTTTTCTGTGCGTTTAATTAGTTATGTGTGTGTGTGTGTGTGTAAATGTGTTGGTGTGTGTACAGTATATTCATATAGTTAGATAATTAATCAAAAATTTTAATTTGTTTTCAGCAAATTACCATCTGTTAAAGGGATCACGAACCACAGCGAAGATACGATGATACATTTATGTGAGAAACGAAAATGGCGGGAATTTGATCATAGCAAATGTTTACCGGAACACAGAGCGAACCAAAAATATTTGAATGTAATTTTTTCAGCAATGAGACACCGTTCAATGGACAGTGAAAACTCGCCCTTAGACAGTCGAGACGGCGTTATCTATGTATGTTTCGCGACGCATTGCAGCAGAGAGGAATTGAATTTTTTCGTCAGTTATTTTACACCGGACAAGGTTGTCGGTTTCAGGGATCAGTTTATACCGAAAGCAGGCACAAAACGATGTCACGTCTTTGAGCCAACGAGAACGGTGAAGATTCGTAAATTCAATAACAATAATGCATCTAATAAAATCGATCCGAGCATTGTAAATGATTTATTTTAAAATTGTTTTTTTAGTTTTATTGAAAATGTAAATAAGGTTTTGTATTTTAAGATCTAGTAAGCTTTTCGTTTTGTATTTGTGCTGTTTTTGAAGATTTTATGAAGGCTTTTATATATTTTTCTTACAAGCTGTTTTAGTATGAAAAATTATGTGAAGTGTAAATAAGATGAAGTGGTTTAATTTGACATGTCAAATCAATTGCAATGAAATTAAATGCAACGGGATGATGAAATGAACTAAAGTTTTAGTAAAATCGTATAAAATTATTACTGAGAATTTCAGTGGATTTTATTGAAGAACCCGAGAAGTTACCTACGTCCAGCCGCTTTGTTTCATTTTCCCAAATTTTTACACTTATACAAGCGTAAAAATTTGGGAAACAGTTAATAAGTAAACACTTATTACATTTAATCCTAAAGAAACACTAAATTAACAATAAAACAATTCACAAAACTTTGTTCCTTGCGTTCCCGCCAAAACGTCCTAAGATTTTACAGATGATGAAAGTCGTAGGCAAAGTGATCTAAGACGTAGTACCCAAAGATTTATTTTAAATGAGTATTTTGTAGGTATTTGGCTGTTTCAATACTATTGAAATGGAGGTGCTTTGTAATGGTCGGGGGGATGAACAGTTACTGACCAAACACCATAGTTTTCCGGTGACGCTGTTTGTAAATATATCAATGAATTTTTTTATTATTAATTCTGCTATTTATGTGTGTTTTAATTGACCAACATGCTTCGGTTGTTACGTCTTTTACGAAAACATCCTTGCCCGATTGTTTCATAATTAAGTGTAAAATTAACATGCACAACAGCAATCGCAGTAATTGATTCTTGTTAGGTACACTTCTTTATCATAAATAAGAAGAAAAAAACACACGTTTTCATTAATCAGGTGAATTTTTGACGAAATGTTTATTTTTCTCCTTGAGTTTCTGTTGCTCTTTAGTGAGTATTTTTCTTTTTTTTTCTTGATTTTTCGCCGAGCCGTCAATGTAATTACAACTACTTTTTCATGTTTATTTTCGAAGCTATCTAATAATTTTCGATTAAGCGACTCTTATTTCGAGTTATTAGTTTATTCATTTAGGCTCATAGTCATCTAATGCGTTGTTAGTTGTTAAATAGTTAAATGTTGTTAGGATTTTTGTAATATGCGAGCTTATCTTGAAAACGTTAGCACGATTCAAGTTTTCGACAAATACTTTTGTCGTCTTTTTTAAGTATGGCAATTCGCTTCTTACAACGCTATAGTCGTCAGTGTCGATTTTAGAAAAATCTTCAGTTAATAAACATACGCATATTCTGTGATATGACAAAGTTTAAGAAGCGAAATAAGATGAAGTTGAATAATTTGATACTCTTAATCAATTGGGGTGAAGTTAAAATGTAACGAGATGAAATAAAGTTTAACTAAAATGGATCATATATTATCTTCTCTGCTATGATAGTTACCTTTCCAAACAAATTAACAAAAACAAAACAATTATATTGCTTCTTCTCTTCGTGTTTGTCAAAATAATTTTGTTAGGTTACTTATGGGTTTATGTAAAAAGCACGTATTCTGTTTAAAAAAAAGCGTGTGTTGAAAAACGACTAACTAGGGCGGCGCCACCGTAGCGAGTGGTGTGATTTCAAAGATGGTGCCAAAAGTTATTATAGGCCGTTTTCCAATTACAGCACAAGAGCGCATTATGCGGCATAATGCTCAACTAAGCTTCAGCATAATTCGGCATTGTGCGTCACTGAGTCGCATTATGCTCTATAATTAACCATTACTTAATGGTAGTTTTCCAATTACCGCATAATGCGCTCTTGTGCTGTAATTGGAAAACGGCCATAGTAAATTTTTCAACTCTGCACACTTCTCTACATTAAAATTGCACCACTTGCCACGCCCGCGCTGTGCTGGTGTGTCTTGTAATCAGTTGCTCACGGCCTAACAATTTTTCATCTTAAATCTTTATCTCCACCATCCTTAGATAATGGTTAAGTAATACCTAAAATATATTACATACATAATATTTACAGCGATCAGTTTGGGAGCCAGAAAACCTATACGATATAATGTTACACAGTAAGTAGCCTTCTATTTCATTAGTGACGACTACCGACCACTACCAAACTTCAAGCACTCCAGTGTACTTAGTACGAGTTTTTGAACATTCTCTTCAACATCTCGATAGCGTAAAAGCTAACTCATATTAATTTGTATAGGGTTGGAACGTTTGCCTACGTTTGCCGCTAGGGGCGCTGTTCCAACTGCATACAAATTTGCCTTCTATATTATGTGTTTTAACGTCTTCTCTTGGGTGCCAGAAATATATACACGGACGGCGAAGGCGTACCAGATGGAGGTCCGAGGGATTACAAAGAGGCTGTCAGGGTGGGAACAATCCAGATATAAAAAACCCGTATTAATTTTTAATATTGGTAGAACGTGTTGCCAGCTAACTAGTGCTTTCGGCCGGCCATTTCTACCACAAAGCAGCTATAGAAGAATGCTACACTAGACTAATGAAAAAAATTTAAAAACTTTTCTACAATTAATTTAAAAAAAAAACACATTACAGATTTTCAGCTAAACACGACAACCCCAATTTCGTCAGAGATCGCTTCAAAGGCAAGTCTACTTAAAGTAGAATTATTTTGTCCGTGCAGTTTGGGTCATAAAAAATCGAAGCGGTGAAGCGAGTATTTCGCTCTCTCTTCCACTCACGAGCCTTATGGACGGGCATAGTGATGCGCAATATTGTTGTCGATAAGCGTTATCGATAGTGTATTTAGTTTTGTCATTTTGTGGGTTAGTGATTAAAATGAAAGAAAGAATCACTAATCGAACACTTACACCACGTATTGCCGCAGCCAGTTAACGAGAACGGCAGAAATTAACACTTTGTAACTTTTCGGGACTTATTCTTATTTCAGTGAAAAATTTTAACGCATTGTTGATAACAACACGTGCAAATATTATTTTGAATAAATTCTGCCGTTTTGATACAAAACAAAGGAGTAGGCATTGTGTCACTAAAGAAATTCAGAGAACGAATTCATAAAAACACATTTCTCTTCGACATAATATACTATAATTTGCAGGTAAGTACAAATGACTCTTAGCATAACAATGTCTCACCACCCTTCGTATACCACCCCGCCGCCGTGTACCTATCTTCGATGACTCATTTGTTTTTATCGATAATGGCGTTGCGCCCGCATAACATGCTCACCGCCCTAGCCGAGCTATGTTTTATGGCCCAAACTGCACGGACAAAATAATTCTACTATAGTTGCTTTTAGCACATACCAATTATTGTACGTATAAGTTATTCTGATTGAATATTCAAATTTTAAATACAGTTAGATGTATAAAATTTTCTCTAATCAACTTTCTCTCTACCTAACTATTCATCTCTTATAGTGGTGGGTCAGCTTTCTTTATTTCTCTTCTCCATTTGGCTTCGTCTTGGACATCCCCATCAGTGAGATTACATTCCTTCTTAACCTTCAGCACTATATCTTTCCACCTTATATTGGTCCTTCACTTTGGTCTCCGATCGGAGAGATCAAGCTGCATTGACAAATTTCCATTGTAGCATGGTGGCTTCCTTTTTCCATGACCATACATTCTCAGGCCACTCTAGCATCTCATCGACGATGTCAAACACAGGTTACCTCGATTTAAACTTACATTTTTATTTTTATCTATTAATCGACAATCGTACCCTATTTAACGCGTCAACAACGGACATTTTGTTTTAATAGGACACTTTAGATTTTTTTTTATTGCATAGATGGGTGGAAGAGCTCACAGCCCACCTGGTGTTAAGTGGTTAGCGGAGGCCATAGACATCTACAACGTAGATGCCGCCACCCACCTTGAGACATGAGTTCTAAGGTCTTAGTATAGTTAAAACGGTTGCCCCGTCCTTCGAACCGAAACGCATTACTGCTTCACGGCAGAAATAGGCAGGGTGGTGGTACCTACCCGTGCGAACTCACAAGAGGGCCTACCACCAGTAATTACGCAAATTATAATTTTGCGGGTTTGATTTTTATTACACGATGTTATTCCTTAACCGTGGGAGTTAATCGTGAATATTTGTTAAGTACGTATTTCATTAGAAAAATTGGTACCCGTCTGCGGGATTCGAACACCGACCGTTGCATCGCTACATACGAATACCGGACGTCTTATCCTTTAGGCCACGACGACTGAAAATCCACAGAGATTTATATCCACACAGTCGAGGATAGGCAGGAATGGCGCAGGATAATCCAGGAGAAAGTTGTTAGAGGTTGCCACGAGGTTCAGCATTGAGGATTATTGACGCAAGGAGGATATATTTTGTATACATCTCTTTCCCACACCGCAACAATTTGATGTTACCGTCGCCACGCGAGGGAGAAGACCCGGTTTTTCTCAGTTCTCAGCGGCGCTGATCTCGCGTATGAACGATGGTGACCATTCATAGATTTATTACCATATTCCGATGATTCCAGATTTAATTGACAAGCCCCTGATGCCTGGGTCTTGGGTTAGCAAATACAAACAGCCTTACAATCCGGCGTGGATGGATTATTGTGACCCCTATCATTGCGGTGATTATCACAAAAGAGCTTGCGGCCTTAACAGAGATAACATGAGATTCGAATGGTTCCAAAGCGTTTGCCATTTGATATTAAACAACAAATGCTCAACATATAAAGGGACTCTTAGTGAGTAACACAAAATATATACAGTTTTGCGTATAATATTTGCTTTTTTTGTTTCTACCTATTCTAGTCATTTTGAGGTGTTATATGAGATTCTCCGGGTGAGTAGGTGAGCTCACTGGGTTCAAATCGGACGACGTTGCTAACACTAGTCCTGGCAAGAACAGTGCTTCGCAGAATCTACCATCGGATCGGAAACGTGACCCACTAAGAAGATCCGGCGATAATCTGTGGGCTGTGTCTATGGGTTAACTAATGTGACGTGTTTGTCTCGTTGTTCACTAATGTGCTCCGGATTGTTAGTTCTACGTGCGATGGAGACAGATGTAACGCAAAATCCGAACTTAGGCGATCTTCTCTTTTGAAACTCATTGAAAACTGTCGGGAGTGTTCGGTCTTTCATGCTCTTCTAACATTAGAGTTAGAGAGGAACAGAGAAACTCGCTTATGAATAAATAGCAGTTTTAAGCAGAGTGAAGGGTGCTTAGTTGAAAAATTTAGTATTTTTCTTGAATTGTGTAATTAAAAAATATGCAGTATTTGCTTATAATGTCAATTATTTATTTTGATTACTATTTACGTACGAAGTGTTTCTTTCCTACGTGTTAAGCGCGAGATGAAACCGTAAAAAACGTTTTAAATTATCGGAAATAACGACAATATTAAACTGTAAAAGTGTTTTTAATCAACGGTTAGCTTCTAGATTTAATTAAGATATTTACTTTCAGAATATCAACCGGTCGATACGAAGTTCTGCTATATGTATGTGATGTACTTGAGGAATGGCCGTCAGAAGTGTGACGACACGAGCTTAGAAGCCGACGTATATTACTTAATTGATTGAGTAAAACTTAATTTTGTTTTTAATTAAAGGTAAGGGTTGCCATAGCGCGAAATGAGCATGAAAATCTGACCGCGATGGGGCAATGCAAAGCCGCCGACGCCCGAAACATGTCTTGTCGGATCCCTCCCATCCACTCTCGGTGCTTTTAGGTCTCCCAAGCACCGGTCAAGACAAAGAATCCGACGAGCGAACTAAGTCATAGACACAGTCCACTGAGTTTCTCGCCAGATCTTCTTAGTGGTTTGCGATTTCGATCCGGTGGTAGATTCTGCGAAGCACTGCTCTTGCAAGGGCTAATGTTAGCCAATTCTGTCAGGTTGAGCCCGTGAGCTCGTAGCTGGAATAGCCTCTTAGACCAGCGAATAGGTAGTCTGAACGTTTATTATCTATCTTTATATATGTAGGATTGGTAAGAACGGAACGTATGAAAAGAGTGCGAAATGGAACGTTGAGATGTGAGCGAGAGAAAACGGAAAGAAAGGGAGAAGAGAATGACAGACAGAATAACAGAAAAGGAAGATGGCGAAGACGGTTAAAAAATGAGCAAGGCGTACATAATAAAAGTGTTAATTTTAAATTATTATTATAACAGAAAATTTTGGAACAGTAGAAGTTTTATTTTATGCGCTGCGATCCCTATTCTACAGAAATATATTTCTTCTGTGCGTGTGTTTGTCACTGAACTTCTGGATGGTTTAGATTCACAAATCAGCCCGGCAAATGGCGCTGCAGTCGGTATCTAGATTATTTATCTTTTTAGAAATAATTAATATGGCAAAACATCATTTGCCGGTCAGCAATGCAGCATAATATATGTGTAGGTATATTTAAACGTATATAAGTATGTACTGTAGACTGACGTCTCTGGTGCCCATATTGCTCATAGCACGAGGAATCCTAAATTGGAGTCGGATGACCGTGCGTGATTTTTTTTTCCAGCTATTAATATAAGTTTTTTTTATAAATGCCATCTCGTATGACGGTGACGATAATTTTAATTTTTGTTTTAATTTCATTTCAGAATAAAACAATAACAGACTAAAAGAAATATCGCAGTTTTCGATTGTGAATACATTACTTGAGATTTATTAAACAAATTTGGTTCGAATTGGTTTTTGTTTTAATCTATTTTCTTAAGGCATTTTATGACCTCGTAACAAAGACTTGTCTTATTTTAATGTATATTATTATTTTTAATAGATAGAGTGATTGAAGAGGAAGGTTTATATGTATAAAAACTTCAGAGGTGTCAAGGGACACTCGGATGGAACGAAGTTCCTTTCGATTAATTAGTGAAGGAATTGTAATTTTTTTTGTTTAAGTTATAATAATAAATTACGGCATTATGAAGAAGAAAAAAACAATACTATGAACTAAATTACTATTGTTGAAACGCTATCTCGAGAAACTGTACTCATTACGCGGACCAATCGGATACGAGCAATGTCACGCGATAAGCGCCTACACGTTGATTGGTCAGAATGACGGATCTAAAAAGTGTCGGGACAACTTTTCGTAAGAATTTTTTCCGTCTAGCCCCCTTTCACAACGCGCGATAAGGAACTTCGTTCCAAAAATAGTAGTATTATTAGATTTATTCGATCCATGTGAAATATTCTGAATTTGAACTGGATATAATTTCTAACAGTGTACAGACTTTTTTAATTTAAATAAAAAAAAAANAGAATGACGGATCTAAAAAGTGTCGTGACAACTTTTCGTAAGAATTTTTTCCGTCTAGCCCCCTTTCACAACGCGCGATAAGGAACTTCGTTCCAATAAAATCCATTAAATAGTGGAGAAATCAATAATAAATTACAGTTTCCGAAGCGAAGCGAGGGCGGGTTGCTAGTTGATAATAAAGGGCTGGGCATTTAAAATTAACATTATTATTTATTGTAATTATTATTAGGGAGTCCAACACTCATATAAATATTAGTCGATCCATTAAGTACATGTATTTTCTACATGATTACCAAGTTTCAAGTCAATCAGGTGCATGGTTCAGTAGTTATAACGGAACATCCGTAAAAACCACTGTAGACTTATATATTAATATAGATTAGCATCAACAGTTCGATGTTTTTAATTGAACTTCGATTAAGTTTACTGCATTAAAAATAGCTGAAGATTTTTTGACGTGACAACGTCTTATAATTCGATGGAGCCGGCTGCACACACGAAAAAACATGACTCATTGAGGCGTTCCATTTAAGGCTTGAAGTGCAAGCGAGAGCGCGCAACGAGCGACAAAGAGGCACAATCGGCCTCCGCGTTCGGCAGCGCTCGACATCTGTCTCTCTCCTACTTGAGTGAGCGATGCATCCGCGTGGACAGCTGCTATACAATAATACATTTACATGTTTTCGTCAAGTATGAAGTTCAGTGAAAAGTGAATGTGGTGTTTGTCCATACGAAAAAAACTATCAAACAAATAAAATTAAAATTTTCTTTTGAAAAATGAAACCATTCCATCAGTATTTTCTTGTGACGTTGTCACGTTCAACTATCGTCAGTAAACCGACTTTACAGACAAAAGATTTTTTTATTAACTAAAATATTTTTTTATTCCCAGACCCCCATATTATAAATGCTTTTACTAAGTTTATAACTCTATAACTAAGTTTATAACTCTATAAAATTATAATATTATAATTATATGTAGTGCATTATTCTCTGTACATAATCTTTATTATAATATGTAAGTTTATAGTAACATTAATTTTGTGTTAGTCCCAGGCACCATTATTATTGCCAAAATTGGATACTCTTCATAATATAAAGTGTGTTTAAATATCTCGACAATGTTCCATGTGTAGCCATAACACGACACTGGCAGAAATTGCTGAAAGTATCAGCAGCTTGCCATAAAAAAAAAACAACATATTTTTTGGGAATTTTAAACTTTAATTACCTAAGTAGTTCTCCTGTGAAGTTGCAAAAATGTCTCTCAAACCAAACATCCTTTATTCACCCCACGATAATTTTCTTATCAATTGTTTTCGAATGGTCGAAGTGAAATATTAATTTAAGGCGAATCGTAATTTTTCTTGTTGTTCGTCGCTACTTAGTTATTTCGTAAGATGCTTTCATCAAATTCAATTCACATTCTATATTCGTGTCTCTGTGAGTATTAAAGGATTGCTTTGTTTATTGTTTAAAATAACTTGACCTCAAGTTATGTCCAAGTCCTGCTAACTTGAGAGTTAGAAGTCAAGGTCGATACAATAATTTTAGAACTTATTTTGTGAGTCGTCGTGGCCTTAAGGATAAGACGTCCGGTGCATTCGTGTGTAGCGATGCACCGGTGTTCGAATCCCGCAGGCGGGTACCAATTTTTCTAATGAAATACGTACTTAACAAATGTTCACGATTGACTTCCACGGTGAAGGAATAACATCGTGTAATAAAAATCGAACCCGCAAAATTATAATTTGCGTAATTACTGGTGGTAGGACCTCTTGTGAGTCCGCACGGGTAAGGTACCACCACACTGTCTATTTCTGCCGTGAAGCAGTAATGCGTTTTGGTTTGAAGGGTGGGGCAGCCGTTGTAACTATACTGAGACTTAGAATTCATGTATCAACATTTACGTTGTAGATGTCTCTATGGGTTCCGTTGACCACTTAACACCAGGTGGGCTGTGAGCTCGTCCACTAATCTATGCAATAAAAAAAATTAAAAAAAATTAAATAGCTTCGCTCTAATGTCCTAACCAGTAGCTACAGGGCTAACTAGAAACAAAATGTTAGTTCGGTGTACTGCTTAGTCAATTTTTTTTTGTTTATCTACTTTTTTTTGGTTTAAATGACATTAGAAAGTAGAAAAACACCATTAATTATCATATAGCAGCTAAAGTAAAGTAGTGTATTAAAGGAAGATTCATATCAGTCTCGTAAGTCTGGACAATTCTCAATTCGACGCAAAAAAAAAAAAATCATTATGTTCTAACGTAATTTTTTTGATAAGGTCTATTATACATAGCGTCATCGGAGCGAACAAAAGTGACAGTTGACATCAATGCCAGAATTGACATTTTGAAACGTCAAATCGACGCACAGATTAACGAGAAGCACAGAATACCGAAAACGATGGAAAACAATAACGCTAACGTCGAGGACAACGATTATCATGATATTTCTAATCTACCGATTACGCCTATTATGGATGCAGACAAGAAAAGGGAAAAAAATAAAGCCAAAACGAGAATTTTAAAGACGACCAGTACAGCAACGGAGAAAACATCTAAGGGCGAAGGTTTACATTGCTTATAACACGTTTTTTTGTCTACAAATTAGTCAGTAAGGGCAGTCACGTATAATTTTATTACGGCATGCTTGTTTTTTTTATTTTTTATTGGTTGGATGAGCTCACAGCCCACTTGAGTTAAGTGGTTAATGGAGCCCATAAACATCTACAACGCAGATACGGCCACCCACCTTGAGATATGAGTTTTAAAGTCTCAGATTAGTTACAACGGCTGCCCCACCCTTCAAACCGAAACGCGTTATTGCTTCACGGCAGAAATAGGCGGGGTGGTGGTATCTAGCCGCGCGGACTCACAAGAGGTCCTACCACCAGTAATTACGCAAATTAAAACTTGCGGGTTTGATTTTTATTACACGTTATGTTATTCCTTCACTATTTAAGTCAATCGAGAACATTTGTTGAGTACGTATTTTATTAGAATTTGTACCCGCCTGGGATTCGAACACCGGTGCATCGCTCAACACGAATTCACCGGACATCTTATCCTTTAGGTCACGACGACTTCTGTAGTGTGAAAACAAAATTAAAGTCAAAATCATCGCTCATTATCACAGCTCTAAGAGCTAGGAGCAGGCCTAGGGATCCTGAAACCGTATTTGTTGAAGAGTTTAACGTGAAACCTAAATGATAGATCGGCCCACTCAGTTTCTTCACGGACCTTCTCAGTGGGTTACCCTACCGGCTGAACCTGTGCTTGCTCATCTGTCCTGGTCAAACTACAAAGTTCCCTGGGATAACTAAAAGAATCATACCCTTGTTT